CGAAGGTTCTTCTACTTACCGTCTAATTATCAAAATAGCTCTGTCGAGTCAATCCCAATAATCACAGATAAAGCACATAAATTGATCAAGTTCATGCACTAACAATCATAACAAGTAGAAGAAATAATCATAAAATCATAATTGCATAATCTCAAGAAAAAGGGTTCGCAATCCCTACATAGGGTTCCAACAAAATCCTAGATTAAAAAAACTTAGCTACTCATAACGAAAAACATAATAAAAGTCATAAAAGCTATAAATAAAAGTCAAAGAGGGGAACTAGGATGAAGATTCGTCAAGTCTTCGTCTTCGTTCTTGTGCTCCTTGATCGCGTGTAGAAAGATGAAAAATAAAAACCTAAAGATTTGAGATAAAAAGTAAAAGATCCAAGATAATCCTAATTGTGTGCTTGTGGCCTTTAAATAGGGTGCAAAAATATAATAGGGCGGGTTTCCTTGTGTAATTAAAATTCCTTCACTGCGCCATCACGACCATCCGGACGGCCGTGTGAGATTTATGCCTAAAATCCGCACGGCCGCGCGGTCCTTGATACTCCAGAATTCTGCTTTTTCACTTTTGGCCCACTTTTTCTCCGAATTTGCAGTTTTCACCCCAAAAGTTGCCAATTCTTCAATTTGCACCTAAAATACAAATAATAACCAAATTAAGCACCAATTATCGTAAAAACACATCAAAAGCTCCAATTAAAAGGTACAGTTAAGTGTATAAATATACACTTAACAATGGTACACGGGATTACGGTATTTTCTATAAAGCAGGAGAACCATTGAAGCTTTACGGGTATTGTGACAGCGACTGGGCCGGATGCCTCGACGATATGAAAAGCACATCAGGTTATGTGTTTTCCCTTGGTTCAGGTATCTGTATGTGGGCCTCAAAGAAACAAAAAACAGTGGCGCAATCTTCTGCCGAAGCAGAATATGTTGCTGCAGCCAAAGCTACTTCTCAAGCAATATGGTTGCGAAGGATTATGGAAGACATGGGTGAAAAACAAAACGAAGAAACCGTGTTGTTTTGTGATAACAAATCTGCGATTGCAATGGGGAAAAATCCAATAAGTCATGATCGGACGAAGCATATTGCCATCAAATATCATTTTATAAGAGAAGCCGCTGAAGATGGTGAAATTTGGCTTGAGTATTGTAAGTCAGAAGACCAACTTGCCGACATACTCACTAAGCCTCTTACCAAAGAAAAGTTCATCTACTTGAGAACATTGATTGGAGTAGTAAAGAAAGTGCATTAAGGAGGAGTGTTGGAAGATAATGCACTAGACTCTTCGAATAACACATCAAGGAGTAATAACAGTCAAATGTATCTATCTCAAATGTATCTAGCATGTGTCCATTTGTCTTCTTCTAGTCTAGAATTTTCTATTGTTAAGTATATATATGTAAGCATTTTTTGCTATGTGAAGTGTAGAACGAGAAAAGCCAATTAGAGATAAATAAAAATATTAGTTTTGAGCTCTGCCGCAGCAACTCGAGTGAAATATTTTCTTTCTCAGTTTGTCTTTGCAAACTCACAAATACTAAACAATTACGTGCGTGTTTATATACACATTTGTGATCTTCTGTTTTATGACTGCATGCAGCATCGTTACGAGTACTTCTCGTATAAGTCATAATAAAATTCTTCACAATTCCAGATATTCTGCCATTTATTTATTCTTCTTTTGACATATTATTTTTCCTTCATTACTATTTTTCATTTTCCTTTTTGACCTGCTTTTTTTGCTTGACCGGAAACATGCAAATCCGATTGCTTGAATCCAGAAAATTCATAAATTTGGGAATCATCTATCAAAAATCTTATAGCTAAAATCCAACAAGCAGCATTTATTGGTGACCGATGCATTCTACAACAGGAAGAAATTAATCAATTAAAAAAACATTATTATATGATAATTATAATAAGAATTCTTTAGAGCATGCATCTAATATTTGTTATGGTATACGTGTTTATTGTGTACGAGTATATATAGATCATAACGAAAACCAGTTTGTTAACATTCAGTTCATCAAATGGCCCAAAGTTTATATCAACTAAGCTATACATTGACTAACTAAAATTAAAATTTGGGGTAAATTACAATCACCCCCCTGAGGTTTAGTCGAATTACGAAAAAACCCCTCTTGTTTGGGTAATTACAACCACCCCTCAACTATCAATCAAATCTTCTTACACGTCCACACTTGATATTTCCATTTTAGTGGAATCTTCTAGATTATATGGAATATTCTCAATTTTAATTTGTACCCGTTTTATCCCATTCGAGCTCCACATTTTGAAGCAAGATGATCATAAGATGTATTTTTTGGCTTGTAAATATCTGATTATTGTGCATCATAATATGTATTTTGCACAAAACGAGTACAAACTAGAGAAGATTTTCCGATAATTATGTTGAATTTGACACCATAAGGGTGGAGGTGTAAGAAGATACATAGTTGTAGTTGAGGGGTAGATGTATGTAATTATCCAAATAAAAATGAGTTTTTTTTCTTCGTATTTTGACCATACCTCAGGGGTGGTTGTAATTTACCCTAAAATTTATAAAACGTAAGATTAAAGACATACTCTATGAGAATTAAAATCCAAGCCCGTGATCTCATAAACATTTCAACTCACAAACTGGGTCGAGAAGCACTAGTTATTTTAACTTACGGCAGCTAACAGTTATAAATAATAGGGGTCTTTACAAATAAGCACATCAATGGGTACTTATTCATAAAGAGATCCAGACAAAAAACTCCTTTACCAATAAGTCCACACATGATCCAGATTTTTGTAAATGAATAAAATAACCCCTCATACTTTAATATGCTCCAATTTCATCATTAACTTTATTTAACCTCAATTTGACCCCAAATTTCACAAATTATTCAATTTTGATCCAAAACATTTTTTTTTCAAAAAAAAAAAAATTCAAATTTTTTTTTTCCCGCCGGATTCCAGCGTTGACTTTTCGAAAAAAAAATTCTTTTTTTTTCTTCCGAATTTTTTCGCCGATTTCCGGCGTTGACTTTTTTGAAATTTATTTATTTAAATTTTTTTTTCTTCTTTTCTTTCTTTCTGTAACTTTGTTTTTCGTTTAAACAACAATATTGTTGTTGGTAAAAAGGCAACTCTATGAGAATTAAAATCCAAATCCGTGATCTCATAAACATTACAACTCACAAACTGGGTCGAGAAGCACTAGTTATTTTAACTTACGACAGCTAACAATTATAAATAATAAAACGAGATACAAGTATTAAAATAGACTTGGTAAAATATACAACAAGAACTGTACTAAAATAAAGAGACGATTTTCTATTTGTGAGAGATAAATTTTTTTTTTAATAAGATGGAGTAATTCCATTAGCAGTCCTCAAAGGGCGATTGAGCACATGGGTGGTTTTATTTGTGCTATTTTTCTTGAGTCGTCAACTAAACCATGTGCTAAAAACCGGTGGAGAGAGAATCCGCAGCCAACGCGTAATTATTTTGCTAAAAATCAACCGATATTGCAGATGCAACCCAGTTTTGTGATGGGTGGGCTAAATTAAAATATTTGACTCGACAGCGATTAAGTCATGGGTTCAAGGTTCAATCGGTCTGGTTTGAACAACAACGAAGGTTACTCATTATTAGTTTTGGAAGTTAGTTATGTACGTGACGAGGGTATTTATGTCTTTCTATTGAAATGATATTTTACTTGAAGCTCGAGGGAATTGAAATTTCTTGGCAAGTTCCAATTAGATGAGTAGTAGAATTCAAGAAAAGTTTGATTTTTTCATAACATATATAACCAGTTATAGAAAAGAAGAGAGTAGTGTTGAAATATGTCGAAGGTGTATGATAGCTGGGAGAGGTTGGTGGCAGCTGTCCTCGACAAACAACATCTTAGATACCTTGCGCTATGTGAAAGCTTCGACAGCTCTATTTCAGCTGATTTCAGTTCAGGTTTCAGCTTTGAAGATGAAACATGTACTGGTATTTCAGTAATATATATATATACTACTCGTTAAATTAATCTCGATTTTAGGTCTCTAAATAAGTATTAAGTATGTACCAATTGTGGGTTGTTTGCATTTGGTTGACTGCAAATCTTGTTAGCCAGATTATTTGGAAATTGAGGAAAGCTAATTTCAATCTTCCAATGAAATCATTCATTTTTTATTTTCTTTTACTTTTAAGAAGCTGCAAGTCACACGTTCACTTCATTTTTATATTGCAAATTTGCAGTAATTATAAGAAAAAGTTGCATTATCGACACCTCAATTGTGACAAATGCAAAAGTTTCCATTAATTGATATATATTAAGCAACAATTTTTTTTGTTATGACTGATAGTTTCTTTTGTTGTCACTTACTGCTTCTTTTTGTTACTAAAACAAGTGGGAGCATAATGAATCGAGCTTGGTCGAGATGAGTGCATGATTGTTCAAAATGTTGTGTTTGAGCTTCATTTCATTAAGCAATCAGAGCGCGCTTTGATCGGTTAGAAAACAGATCGAGCCCGAATAACTTCATTTTTCATACACAATATATAATTGAATAAACTAGTTAATATGGTCAGACTTCAGAGACTCAGAATGGTATACAAATATATATATGCTGAGGGCAGTGTAATTAAGTTTTCTTTTTCCGTGTAAACTCGATGCACTTCAATTATATGCTCCAATGTTATTAAGTATAACAATCACGTTTACATGTTTCTTGTGAATCTCGTTAAGCGTCTAGAATTTCCAGCAATAGCATCAGCCGTGGAGCTAAATATTCCATCCAAGCAGAGCACATTGAATTTGAAGAATTGAAAAAGGCGACGAAAAACTTTCGATCGTACTCGGATTCAGGGCAAGCAGCATTTGGTCATTTTTCGAAAGGATGGATTGATGAGAACACTCTTACTGCTTCCAAACCTGGATTCGGAACAGCTGTTACTGTCGATATATGGAGTGTGGGAGGACATCAAGCCATTAAATTAAGAGTGCTTTTTGGTATTTTTTGTTTTCCTTTAATTAATTTTCATAATAATTATAGTTTCCTTATGCTTCTTTTTTGCTTTTACCAACCAACAACTACAACTTGTGCAGAAGGAGATTAATTATTTGTATCGATTTCGTCATCCAAACATAGTTAAACTCATTGGATATTGCTCTGAAGAAAATTACATGATTTTGGTATATGAATTCATTCCCAAAGGAAACTTGGACCATCATTTATTCCGAGGTAATAATTTTTTGTATACTAATTGTTTTTTGATGACTTACTTATATGATGATGTTTATTGTTAGATTTATTTTGTGCAAATATTAATTATTTGTGTCAGATTCAGTTCTTAATTGTTGTTGCGTAAAGTGTTGGAACAGTTCGTAGAAACATAATTAAAAAGAGATTAAATACAACCTCAACCAAAAATTTAAGTTGTTCGTGAAATGTATCATTTAATATTAATATCTCTAATACGAACATTGATAATTTGAACCCGTGACATAGGATCACATGATCAAACACTGCCTTGGGTGGCAAGAATCAAAGTGGCTGTTGATGCTGCTCGAGCACTAGCTTTCTTGCACGACTATGAATACCCAGTCATACACCGAAGTTTTAATATTGCTGACATTCTTTTGGATGGGGTATATAGGTGTAATTATATATATATATATATATATATATATATATATATATATATATATATATATATATATATATATATATATATATATATATATATATATATATATATATATATATAAAACCATCTATTTATTGTTTGCCTATCATCTTGTGTTGGTGCAGGAATTTAACGCAAAATTGTGCAATTTCAGTTTGGCTACGGACGGTCCGACAGGCAATAGGACTCATGTATCCACTCAAGTTGTGGGTAGAGTTCGTTACGCTGCACCGGAATATGTTGCAAGAGGTTCAATTTTATCTAAATTCTTGATGTTGTTAATTCAGAAGCATTATTTTGTTGGTGTCTTAATAAGCATCATCATATGTCATAACAAATCCCTTTGATTATAAACAAACAGGTCAGTTAACAACAAAATGCGATGTGTATCGTTTTGTGGTCGTTTTGGTTGAATTACTAACCGGACGGAAAAGTCTTGACTATAAAAGGCCTTTTAATGAGTGCAATCTAGTAGATTGGGCTAAACCGTATTTGCGTCGCAAGAAAACTCTGTCTCGGATTATGGACCCCAAACTAGAGGGCCGATTCCCTCATAAGGAAGCATATACTGCTGCAACAATTGCTCTGCAGTGTCTAAGCCAAATGCCAGAACAAAGACCAAGGATGGCTGAGGTTTTAGTTGTCTTCGAGCAGATGAATTCGTGAGGTGTCATAAATATTTTTTTTACAACTCACGACGTTTTTCCACCATTTAACCATTTCTATGTAAATTCTTTTTGAGGTGTTGTTACTTATTCTATCGTTGAATATGCACATATATTTATATTTGTTAATATATTTCAATAAGAACTAGAACTGTTATACGATTCCTTATGATTTACAATTTGTATATTTAACAAAAGGATTTACGATTCAATTTGCGATTTAAGGGTAAAATTACAGTGAACAAAATCAAGTAGTGGATGCATTAGCTAATGAGACGTATTCTTGTAACAAAAGGTGAAATCCCACGCCCCAGGGCCCCCATCCATCGGTCGACAAGTATTTGATGGAGGAATGTAAATTATCTTGAGCATAAGTAGTTCTATCACCCACATGATGTACCTAAGGCAATTCAATATATTCTTTGCCCGGATAGAATAACTTTTGTACTATTAGTTTTCAAGGTAGTTTTTTGAATTTTTACATTTTTTTGGACAAATGATTGACACTGCGCCTGAATGCTTTTATCAGGATGGTTCTAATGAAGTCTATTTTAGTGATAGAATTTGCAATACGGGTATTAATTTTTATTGTTATTATCTTTTCATAATGAAGGTTAGTGCAGTGGATAAACCTACACTATTGTGTATAGCTTGCAAATTATACGAGAGACGTAAACCACATTATGCTAACTATGTGTGACATAGGGACTGTTGGCAAGGGGATTTAAATCTGGGTCAATTGATACAGGCTCATTTGCTCCAACCGCTAGGCCATCCCTTGCGGGAAATTAAAACCTACACTTTCGTATAATACTTTCAAACTATACGAGAGACGTAAAACATACTAGTTTGTGTGTGCTTTAAATTTCCGACTGAAGTAAATATTCATTCATCTATTTTTGTATTTTGAATGCGGCAGAGATATATGGGATCATTTCGGCAACATGTTTTGTAAACCGTATCAATACGGATTTTGGTGCACTTACGTTTGGAAGAGTCGATGTAAGGTAACGTACGAAGGAAGAGAGATGTGAGTCAAAGATATCATTAAAATGATTTGAAATTAACTTCATATTTATGTTTGGCTCATTCCGGAACATCTCAAATTTAGGGTTCAACAAAATCATGTCCCGCGTAGTGTTCGGAGGTTCCAAAATGGAGGGTTACTTCAATTTGAATTTTCTATTAAGTTTCTCTATGTTTTAAATCCATGACACAAACCATAAATATAATATAGGACAAAATGCACTTCACCCCTACATATTTTCCATTTTCGCACTTTCCCCCTTAAAAATTTAAAAATTGGATAATCCCCCTTCAAAATATTATTTTAGTTTCACTTTGCCCCTAAAGCTAATTTTTGGTGGGCATTATGCAACAAAATAACATTTTAAAGGGGCAATGTACAAAAATATAATACTTTTAAGGGGTAACGTGCAACAAAAATAACATATAAATGGGCAATGTGCAACAAAAATACTCAATTGCCGATGAATAATCCATTTCTGTCGGGGCAATGCGCAACAAGTATAACATTTTGAAGTGGGGCATTCACTTTTTAAAATTTTGAGGCGGTGAAGTGTGAAAATTAGAAATATTTAGGGGGTGATGTGCAATTTTCCCTTTAATATATATGTAAGTATTGCAAATTTATTTTTTTGGGAAAAAAAATCGGAATTTTTGAAATAAAAATTCAATTTGTTTGAACATTTCATACATAATTCCGATTTCGAAAAAACAAAATTAATAAATATACTCGAAAAGGTCAAAAATCAGAAATAGGAATGAAAATTTGTGGTCCAAAATTGGAAAAATCAAATAGGAGGACTTAAGGAGGTGGGAGCCGGAATTGAAGGTGGGACTGTGGAATTGAAGAAGGTGGGGTTGTGAAAAAATCAAATAGGAAGGAAGACTTTGTTCCATTAAAATTTACACATGAGTAGTCAACTAAAAAATATTGGTGGGGAGATAATCTGCAACCAACTCATTTTTTGCTAAAAACCCGTATATCATTTTGACCGATTTTGCAGATGCAACCCGGTTTTTGATTCTTTCACTTTTTTTTATGGTTGATTGGACCGGCTAAGTGATCGTTTCAAGGTTCAGTCGGTCTGGTTTAAACAACCACGAAGGTTATTAGTTTTGGAAGTTGTTGGAATTTTTGAGTGTTAGACTCAATTTTTGTTGATTATTTAAGTTTGTTAAATTTCGTTTCTCAAGATTATTTATTGAAGTCGCGTAAATCCACACGAGAACCTTGTGAGGTTTTGTGTGAATTCATACGAACAAGAACAAAGGTGCTCGTGTGAAAGCACACGAACCAAAAAAAAAATATTATGCATGTGTTCGTTTGGATTTACACGAACACTTACCAAGTAATCGTGTAAATCCACACGACCTCACAAGAAAAGAATCATGGGTTCGTGTGAAGTTACACAAACACATAGCATATGTTCGCGTATATTCACACAAGCATATAAAGATTCGAGAAAAAACGAAAACATTACCTCTCGATCTATATTGTTTGGATCCATTTCAGAAATTGTTGAATATCTGAATTTTTTGACTTGAATGTTGAGTTTTGGATTTTGTAGAAGTTTAGAGAATTTGGTAAAAAAATGTCTAACCTAAAAAATTGTGGTAAAAAAGAAAAAATGCCTGGGAATATAACATCCCAATATAAATTGGATGCATAGCTATAAAATCTAAATGACATGGGCCGATTAGAATATTACCACTATTATTGTCCCCGACTGTAATATTACTGTCTTATGCAATAATAATATTGTTCGGGAAAGTAATCTATATAATATATAAAAGTTGAATTCCATAGCTAATTGATTGACATTTGGCAATTTCAATTGATGGCATGTCCTCAATTTCATCCCAAGTGGCGAATTGATTGGTCGAAATAAATCATCAAAAAACATGTCATCATTTTCCAAAATTAAAGGTAATAAAATATATTTAATTATTTTATTAATATATTTATATCCTACCATTTATAAAATGCTCTAAATATATCAACTTTCTTGGAAACCCTAAATAAATTTATTTTTAATGTAATTTTATAATTAATTTATTTTAAATTTAGTTAAATTCGATTTAAAATATTCTCATATAATTGCATGATTGGTGGTGTTACGATTTTTTTTTTTAATTTTAATTCATAAACTTGGATTTATATTAAAAATATATTGCATAATAAATTATTTGATATTATACATTTTACACGAAGATGACTAGAGAATATGTAATTTTTTACTAATTTAAATTTAAAATGTTCTCTTATTATAATTGCATGATTGGTGGTGTTACGAATGTTTTTAATTTTAAATCATAAACTCGGATTTATATTAAAAAAATGTTGCAGAATAAATTATTTGATATTATACATTTTACATGAACATGACTAGAGACTATGTATTTTTTTACTAATTTAAAATTATATATTAATATTATTTGTAAAAAATAAAGATACGTGTTTGAATTTACTATCTTGCGAAAATTGACACTATTTGTTATGCCATGTGTAGAGTAATGTACTCCCAATTATTACCATATTGAAAATTATACTACATGAATTTCAAGTTATTATTTAAATAATTATTTTTTCTTCACTGAATCTAGTGATAATAAATTTTACGATTGATTTAACTTTTTAAATTATATACTAATTAAAATACAAATTTTATCATGATTATACTAATAAATTGAATAACCTAAGTTAAGTTTAATCAATTGATAAAAAAACGAATTGATTTTATATATTTCAAAATATAATAATTCTAAATCTTTGGTATTAAATTCGTTTATCCACTTAATTTAATGGCTAACATTAATAATATCAATTGTTTTGTTTAAAATGTATAATAGTCGTATATACTATATATTGTATTCCACTAATAAGTATTTCATTATAACCTCTAATAAATATAATTAAGTAAATATTTAAAGCAACACTAACCCAAAAGTATCAAAATGAATTTGCAAATATTTATGTGATATTTAATATTTTATTTTGATATTTATCTAAATGTATTTTCTCCAACCATAGGTAGTAAATAGTTGTTAATTAAATATATCTAATTGCCATATGTTATTTTCTAAATGGACACTAAGGTGGTTAAATTCATAACTCATTTTTGATATTTTATTCTCCATAATTGAATAATGTATTTTTACATTAAACATGAAATATCAAAATACCTCATTTCATAACTTTATAAGAATAAAAAATTACTATTTTGGAGAATAAAAATGGTGGTTAAATATTTTGATAGCTCATTTAATAAAAACTATTCACGACAAGAGCACTTCGATTGGGATTATTAAATGAGCTATCAAAACATTTAATAATTCCTCTAATGTTTGTTTCCGTCTTACATCGACCCCCTTATTGTATGATTTTTCAAGGAATTTTTTTATTACGTGGAATATTCCAATAATGCTTATTATACCCTGCACACACGACATTTCTTTATGGTACTTTTTAAAGACAAAAATTACCCTTAGGTGAACTTTACACTAAATCTTTATTCTTCTTAAATAACAATTTCACAAATTTTTATTATTACCATGACCACCACTGAGGGTAACTTTTGACTTTAAAAAGTACGATAAAAGAAATGTCACGTCTGCTAGGGTAGACTCCATATTTTTTGGGACATTATATGGAATAAAAAAGATACCGTAAAAAAATCACACCATAAGGGGGTCGTGTAAGACATAAACAAGTATCAGGGGAATTTCGGTAATCACCGATAAGTGGGGGTGTTTTATGTAATTTAGCCTAAGTTCAAGAGGATTTTCATAATTTATCTTAGGAACAATGAGTATTGTTCTTTTACGTCTTAACGTTTGCTTATACCCTTATAATCTATATAATATATAAAAGTTGAATTCCACACCTAATTGATTGACATTTGTCAATTTCAATTGGTGACATGTATTCAATTTCATCTCATGTGGCAAATTAATTGGTGAAAATAAATCATCAAAAAACATGTCACTATTTTCCAAAATTAAAAAAAATAATAAATTATTTTATTATATATTTATATCATATCATTTATAAAATGCTCTAAATATATCAACTTTCATGGAAACTCTAAATAGTTTTATTTTTTAATTTAATTTTAACACTAATTAATTTAATTT